AGGGGGCGTCGGGGGACGCTCGACGGTGAGGGACACCAGGGGACCGTGAAGGACGCTCGATGCCAAGGACACTGCAGGGGACACTTAATGCCGGGGGACACTGCAGGGGACACTGGATGCTGGGGACACCACGGGGGACGGTTGATCTTGAGGACACCATGTTGGGGGATGTGGGGGGCGATGCTCGATGCTGGGGACACCGCAGGGGACACATGACGCCAGGGGACACCAGGGGATGCTCAATGCTTGGGGACGCTGGGGGGGGGACATCATGCTGGTGGATGTTAGGGGAGGCTCAATGCTGGGGACATAGCAGGGGACATTTGACATCGGGGACATCATGGGGGATGCTCAATGCTGGGGACACTGTGGGGGACAGTTGACTCTGGGGGACATCAGGAGACACTGGGGGATGTGGGGGGACGCTCGATGCTAGGGACACCATGAGGGACACTTGATGCTGGGTGATGTCAGAGGACACTCAATGCTGGGGACACCACAGGGGACACTAGACACCATGGGGACACTCAACAAGGGCAGACACTTTGATGCTGGGGGCACTCAGTGCCAGGGAACACTTGATACTAGGTGACACTCAATGCTGGGGGACACCACAGGGTACTTGATGCCAGGTGACACTTGACACCAGGGGACATTGACACTGGGGGACACTGTGGGGGGGGTCACTCGACGCCAGGGGACGCTCAACACTGGGGGATGCTTCATGCCAGGGGACACACAGGGTGACATGTGACATTAGGGGACAGGGACACCAGGGGACACCACAGGGTCACCTCCTTGTGGTCCCGATGTGGCAGCGAGTCCCTGTGGTGAAAGCGAGAACTCAAGGCTGAGCCAGTGGCTTCCCAGGGCCACCAGGCCACTGCCCCCCCACAGCCAGCAGCCACCTCCCCCTCTCACGGGAGTCATGAGGCCACCACCCCCAACTGCGGTCATGGGGCCACCTCAGCCCTGGGGCCACCTTGTTGATAGGGTCCCTCCATCCCTGTGGTGGCCTCATCCTTGTGGTCACCCTGTCCCTGTGGCCACCTTGTCCTTAGGGTCACCCCCCATCCCTGTGGCCACCTTGGCTTTGAGGGTCACCTCATCCTTGTGGCTACCCTTTCCCCAGGGCCACCTTGTCCTTAGGGTCACCTCATCCTTGTGGCCACCACATCCTCAGGGCCACCATGTCCTTGGGGGGAGGGGTCACCTCATCCTTAGGGTCACCACATCCCCAGGGCCACCATGTCCTTGGGGGTCACCTCATCCTTGTGGCCACCACATTTGGCTTTGAGGGTCACCTCATCCTTGTGGCTACCCTTTCCCCAGGGCCACCTTGTCCTTAGGGTCACCTCATCCTTGTGGCCACCACATCCTCAGGGCCACCATGTCCTTGGGGGGAGGGGTCACCTCATCCTTAGGGTCACCACATCCCCAGGGCCACCATGTCCTTGGGGGTCACCTCATCCTTGTGGCCACCACATCCCTGTGGCCACCACGTCCTGAGG